AAAACATAAGCGAATGATTAAGAAATTCTGCAAAATGCTTCTATGACAGACTACCATTTAAAGCAAAAGCTGTGATTTTCACAAAGCTTGCATGACTCCCTACACTTTCATGAAAACCAATGGAATATTTATATAAAGCAACTATAACTATAAAGCAATTTCTTTAAAGAAATAAGGAAATACTTAATGGTGTTACATTTACACTTTTCTTAAAATTAAGCAAACACGCTCTGACCATTGGTCAACTCTGTGCTGCACATTTCTGAGTTTCTTTACTAATTGATTGAATGAACATTTGCTTTAGACCAGAATAAAGATCCACATCCTGGTGAAAAAGTTAACAGACTGTGACAACACAGTGGTCCATCTCATTATAGAAATTACGATAAGACGTTATATTCCAGAATCATCAATTGTACATTCTATGTTCAACTAACGAAGTGCCTAAACATTTAATAAAATCATGGAAGTCAAAACCATCAACCTCTAGATCTCACAAATGCTTACTAAAAGCACATGAGAGCATTTGTCCTTAAGTTGCAATTGACCTTGAGTATGAATAAAGGAGTTAAACCAATCAAGATTCAAAACCAATCTGATTCTCCTTTACAGAAAAGACAAAAGCTTGACTTCCGGAGATTTGAGCTTATGAAGAACACGTTTAAAATACCAGAGGCACAGGGAAGCATCTCCTGCCACATCAGCAATGTTAAAAATAACTATATTTCAGAAAAAAGCCCTAAAGCGGCAGAATGTGCCCACTGCTTAAGAATGAAATATGAGCAAATGTCACCTGAGCAGACAAAGCACATGCAATCTTAATGGAACAAATAATAAAAAAGAAAACATTGACCTTAAGACATAAATGCATTGTTTAAAACTAGAACAATGAACATTAGAACACTCTTGGCGTGAATAAACTCAAGCAAATATCCTAAAAATCTATTAGTGAGTAACATCTGTATGCTGCTCAGAAAATCACTTATAAATAACTTTATTCTGCACCTCGTGTTTTCATTGACCTATTTTCCTACTTTTTACAAAAAAGAAAACATGAGCTTACCTATGAGAGCCTGGAAAAGACTGCTTTTGAAAATGCCCATGACTCTTAAGATGGCAGTTTTGAGCTGTTGTTCCTCTGGTTTCAGTTTGGAGCAGTAGTCCTCCAGGAGGCTTATTGCTCTGGCTGTGTCTGTAAAACAGAATAAATGTTATGCTACTGGCATTTTTTAATCTACAACATTTAACATGGAACTACCTAACATGTATTATTTTATATTTATAATTACATTTATTTTTAAATAAATGTCTTTAGAGTGCTGGCTCACAAACAAGAAAAAAATTAAATGTATCAAATCAAAACTGCCCCTTTTTCATTTTAAAGGAATATTTCACCCCAAATATTGAAAATTTCTTGAAAATGTACTCACCTTCAGGCCATCCAAGAAAGTACATGTAAATGAGTTTATTTCGTCATCTGAACAGATTTGGAGGAATTTAACATTACATCACTTGCTCACCAATGGATACTCTGCAGTTTAAATAGCTAAAATACAATAAAAACATCACAATAAATCACACAACTCCAGTCAATCAATTAATGTCTTGTGAAGCAAAAAGCTTCATGTTTGTAAGAAACAAATCCATCGAGGCATTTTAACTTTAAACCGGCCTAATTCCTTAATCCAAAATAATGCTTCCTTCAGTGATCAAGTCTATCCCCTGTTGTCTTCTCACATCAAAATCCACTGACATGTATGTTAAGAACTGTTTTGGAGAATATTCCCTTGTAAACAGTGCTTGATCTGTGCATATTTCTCTCCTGATTCAGACGATTCAACTTTATTTTACTGCAGAAATCGATATTATGGATAACACAACGTTTTAAAGTTAAAAGCATCTTAATGATGCATTTGTTTACTACAAACACATAGCTTTTTGCTTTACAAGATATTATGGACAGGGGTCATGTGGATTATTGTGATGTTTTTATCAGTGGCTTGGACTCTTATCCTGACGGCACCCATTCACTGCAGAGGACCCACTGGTGAGCAAATGATGACCACATTTTTTCGATGAAGAAACAAACTCAACTACATCTACATGGACTGAAGGGGAATAATCTTCTGGCAAATTGTTATTTTTGGTGAACTATTCCTTTAATGCACATTCCTAGTCAAACTGTGAATGATTCATTGATGCAGGTTTCGCTCAGTATGTCACATTATAACACTAAAATGGGTTGTGAACAGAGATTTGCATTGAAATGAATGACTCAGAATGTCTGAACTGACAATTAAGTTTTACTTCCAATGGGACATCCTTAAAGAAAACAGCAGAGAAACTGTCTTCAAACAATTCACTGTATTTCTACATGCTTTATAACATAGTAACCAGTTAACAACTTACAAAGTCCCTGAGAGACTCTTTACTACTGGCACAGATCATGAGAGTGACTGAGCATGACTCAGTCACTTAGTCACACAGACAAACAGACACTAGGGACAGGACGGGGGTTAATTCCTGTCTTCGACAGATCGTTCTGAGCAACACAATTTAGAAAAACTGAAAGAGCAACAAACATTTTTTAAATAAATTGCAATTAGTGACATGTGCAAACGATTACTGTGCATGCATTAATGTGAATTCTGCTAATGATAAACTACTAGGACAATAAAATTGGAGATATACTACATTTACAGTGTGCATAAAAAGACTTTTAGGCATTTAAAGAGTAACTAAAAACACAGCTGCATAGCTGTCTGAAATATACATACAAACCAGCATCCGAGATCATCCGAGGTCATAGGCAGGTTGGCCATACTTGTGTCTATTTTTACAGACTACAAACTTGCAGCAGAGTATAATTACACTATTAGTAGGTCTACATATATAATTACACATATTTTAGGCTTAGGAGGTACAGAAGTCAAAATAAAATAAGGATAATTAAGGCATGGCCACAACAGTCCTGCTATAACATGATCATCTTTGCCTGCTTCAGCAACCGCAACACATTCAACTAATCAAGTCTTGACATTCTGCATTACCCAAAGACACAACTATGAATACATGTGGAATTTGACATCTGTCATGCTATATTTCAACATTTTACACGTTCTGACAAATAAACATTATGCATAAAGCTTTTATGACCTCATATTGAGAGACTACATGTGATATTCGTGCTTTAAAATAATTTTGTCTACACTAGATGTGATTAAAATGATGGAAAAAAAGAACCGTAACCTTAACTGTAACCGGTCTGTGCGGAGTTAAAAAAAAAAAAAAAGATTTTTCGAGGTTATAAATATAACAGATTAGGAGTACGTTTTACAAGAAAACACTACTTCAAACTATTTCAAAATGTCATGTTTAGATTAGCCTAGTGTGTTACTTGCCATTTCTTTGTAAATATTTGTAAAATGTATTAGCAATGTCGGAATAAAAAAAAAATTCTACACTATTTTTTTACAGTGTACAATTTCTTATTCATTCATATAAGTTTTAACCTGAAATAATGCTGCCTTAAAGTGCGTACACTATGTAAACGACCGTTATACAGTCATATAATAATCATGTTTTCACAATCATGTACATACGTTGATGTTTATTTCTCACCTCGTTTTCTTAAGGGCATAATTACTCCTTTATGTCCTTGTGGGATTGTCACGCATGGAAACAGCAACACAAAAGTTTCGCCCTCATCTGCTGTCAGTGTCTTTGAGAAAGTGTCACCTGCTAAAGCAGCAAGTTCCTGCTCAGTTCGTTGATGTAGATGTAAAAGCGAACAGAATGGCAGCTCTCGGGGTCGTTGCTTGTAATTGTCAAGTTAAACAGAAAGAGACACGCGCCGAGACATCTTGCAGAAGAAAACACATGCTGAGCGCACGATTGTCGCTCATGAGAAATAAATCCATAATCCGATAGAAAGAGTGGAGAGCGATCGAGTGCACCTTGGTGTGGATGAGTCCATAAGAAATGCTCTCCAGTGTTTGAATATGTTCTCGGTATTGAGCTCTCTGAGGATTGTTTTGCTGGAATATTCGCGCAACCACCGACTCCTTAAATGCCTTTGGTGTTTGACTACATAAACATAATTCAATCACGCTGTCCATAACACAACCCATACAGTCCTGACAAACATTAAAGGCGCAGTGACTAACTAAACTAAATCTAACCACTAGTTTTTGCCCCAAAGGGCCGCCATATACATCAAATTAGAAAGGCTCTCCAGTACATGGCTTGTCTTGGATTAGATTCAGTCAGCATATGTTGATCAAGCATTATTTTAAATCCTTAAACTGCCAATATGGAGTTCCAGCAACAGTTCGTGGAATAAATAAGCATGCCAGCCTGTGTAAGTTGAATGATGCATGCTTGTAAACGTTTCTTTAAGAACAACTTGTTCTACGCATAGGGAATGACGTTCACGTGTTTTGTTTTAGATTCTGATCCTTGAACAGAAAGAAACTGAAAATTAAAATCGGAGACTTTCATGATCATCTTGCTGTTCGACAAGCGCAATCCACTTTCACGTCACTTCAAGAACCAAGCAAAACCATCACCATACTGACAAACTGGTGTGAAATCCAGATCTCAAGGAAGAGACAGAAGGCAGATTTAACTAAACAAGGCAGGATGTATTCCCCCCATGAAACAGCAGCCTGTCGGTGCGACGCCTGTCGGAAAACACCTGCAAGTTTCATCCAGCTTTCCGATAACGCATGGCTCCACAATAAACCAATCTGAGCAAATATATCCCAAAGGTCCTCGTCAAACGTCCCGAAAGGCAGTTAAGAACAACTTCGCCTCCTTTCCCGTCATTTTTTCTGTCAATCTTTACGGCATCTTTTGCCAAAGCTGGTTTGCAGAGTCTCTCTACGGTGGGTGCAGTATCACCAGCAGCAGCAGCAGCATCATCATCACCAGTTTCGCCTTAGCAACGAGAGGGTTGACCCGCGGGGATTGACAGGGAGCGTCCTCCAATGGCGTTCGTTCATTCGGTAGGTTGGCGCACGCACGGACCAATAGGAATCGCCGTATTGTTCCTGGATCTCGGGGTGAGAGTTGACTGGAACATGTGGTTAGACATGGCTGCGCCCTGCTGGCATTGAGGACCGTGACTGTTGAACACTGGATGGAATAGTTTAGCGCTTATTCGAAAGCTCTTTTGTGGGTAAGTAGCAATCCTACGATGCATAAATGCGGTAGTCACCATGTGCAAATTAAGTTGTCAATAAACAGACAGTATTATGACTGTGACATTCTGCTACACATCAACACGGAGGTAAAACAAATCAGTGGCGCACGCACGGACCAATAGGAATCGCCGTATTGTTCCTGGATCTCGGGGTGAGAGTTGACTGGAACATGTGGTTAGACATGGCTGCGCCCTGCTGGCATTGAGGACCGTGACTGTTGAACACTGGATGGAATAGTTTAGCGCTTATTCGAAAGCTCTTTTGTGGGTAAGTAGCAATCCTACGATGCATAAATGCGGTAGTCACCATGTGCAAATTAAGTTGTCAATAAACAGACAGTATTATGACTGTGTGACATTCTGCTACACATCAACACGGAGGTAAAACAAATCAGTTGTCATTCGTCTGAATGAGTTATTGCGTTGCATTTTTAAAACGACATATCAGTAAGTTCAGCTTATAAAGAGGCGTCTTACTAAAATATGTCCTCTACAGAGTATTAATATGAATTTCATGGATATCCAGATAGCAAGCTAGCATATAGAATTTATAAATGTAATAAACAGTATAAGTATAATAATATAGTTACTAACATAGACAAAAATATCCCTTGTAAGTTTATAAACGGACTCATGAATTATCAGTTTATAAAAGTCAATAATTATGTGTTCAGTTATTATTAATCTTATATTCTGAAATGGAAATTTAACAAAATCAAAACTCACCCTGGTCGATAATCCGCTGCAGGTTTTCTTCTGCCAAACCAATCGTTGATATTCAAACAGCGAATTTCGCGCTTCAGGCCACTGACGTTCACATGTTGCCCATGAATTTTGGGGTAAATTAAACTAATTCAAACCAGAATTAAATATATTCATTTTTAGTAAGCGGTCACAATGTTGTTAAAAGGTCGACTGTCTGCAACAAGTCAATTTGTTTATATTAAAACATCTGTATCTCCTTTTAGATCAACATGGCAGACAACGGGATGTTCGTGAAAGACACAGGCCAAGGCCAGACAATATCCAGGGCGATGATTATTGAAATGCTGAATAAAAAGTTTGAAAAACTCCCTGATATCGACAAGTAAGTTAGTTTCATGTCATACATACTTTATGTCACAAATTTGTTTTCCCCCATTGCAGTTAGCTAACGAAAGTTCCCTGTTTTAACCCCCACAGAAAACTCTTTTCATACGGCCCCATATATTTGGCTGGCAACGCTGGGTTTGCTGGCTTGGTTGCCAACAGCTTTTTCAGACGTGTACTCAATGTCACCCAAGGACGATTTACTTCCAGCCTTCCTATGGCTGTTCTTCCCTTTCTGACAACTGCAGCACTTTACACTGCGACCGTAACAAACCCTTTAATGTCAGGTATGGATGCAGTATCTTCTTCTCTCGAGTTTTGGCGGATTGGCAAACCAACGTTAAAGGTGCATGTCCGCCACCTACTGGTCTGGAGTGTGAAACGTACACTGTTCAGCTATGAATTATAATTATTAAACTATTATAGATTTAAAAAAAAATAATAATAAAATAAACCATTTTTTTTACGTAAATAATACAAAATTCCAAACTTCAAACTATTTCCATTAATCTTGTCTTTTTTAAATACTTAAACAATTCTCCATATATTCTTGATTGCATTACCCCATAACCTAATAGTGTCTTTAGAGATATACTAATTCCCATCAGTTCCAGTTCTTGGAACATCTGATGTCTTTCCCTTTCATACGCTATACATATTAAAAGAACATGCTCACCCGTTTCTGGTAGTCCACATTTATCACAATTGCCTGTTTCATGTTTTCCTATTATGTGCAAACTGTTATTTAATGCTACATGTCCTATTCTCAATCTAGATAAGATAATCTCCTTCCATTTCCATAACTTACTCTCTCTTTAGCAACACGCTCCTGGATCTTAAATAAAAACAACTTTTTTTGCCATTTCTTTTCAACTTCTATATATATCAATCTCTTTATTTCAGTTTTACTTATTGTAATTTGGAATTCAACTTGTGGTTGTTCCAGGGTCTTCTTTGCAAGCTGATCAACTCTCTCGTTCCCCTCTACTCCAACATGAGCCGGCACCCAAAGAAAATAAACCAATAACCTTAACTGCCTTATCCTATAAATACTCTGTAGAATTTCATACAATATGTCCTGTCGTGCTCCTGATTTTCCATTCCATAAACTTGTCAGAGCCGCCATTGAATCTGTACAAACCACAACTGTATTAGGCTGGACCTCTTCAACCCACTGCAGTGCAAGACATATAGCTAATAATTCAGAAGTATATACAGATACATGATCAGAAACTCTTCTAGCAACTTTGATATTGAATTTAGGTATATATATTGCAGCTGCTGTTCTTCCAGTCCCTGGGTCTTTAGATCCATCTGTGTATATCTGCAATACTGAATAATATGTTTGATTTATGTATTGTTTGGATGCAGTATCGAATGAACATTGGCATTAAGAAGCTTCCATGCGACTAGCGTCCAAAGTTAAACTTTGACCCCTTTGCCGCTCACCTGTCGAAGTGTCAGCCAGTCGTCATTGGTAAAATCAAATGATGTTGTGCACGCGCCAGTACGAAAATCAAAACATGATCGGTGAGATTTGGTTTAATCGACACCATTTTTTTAAAACTCATTTTTTCTGATTGGCATCAATACGGTTACCAGGAATTTTACATTTCTAGGTTAAGTATATTTAACTTCACCCTTACACAAGTCAGTTGAAAGCTCCTTGAGTGTTTCTGAACGTTCTGCATTGTGTTGAGGAGCTACATTGTAATTGCAGGTGACCTGAACTGCTCAACCTGTACCCTGATAAGAGGGGCTTTGGTTGGTGTAGTTGGTGGTGGCATATATCCCATTTTGTTGGCCTTACCGGTCAATGCTGCTCTTGCAGCCAGGTTAGTCCACAGTTACCACACACTGCTTTTCTTAGAAATATGTGGCAAGTTATGTATGACTAATTGTAACTGATTTCCAATTGTCTTGCAGGTATAACAGTGCACCAATGCCAGAAAAGGGGAACATGATACGCTTCTGGACAAATGTCAGCAAACCCATTGTACACAAGATGTATGTTGTTTTGCTGCTGCAGGGTTTGTTTGGAACCTACTTGAGCTCTAAACAGCTTGATATCTACCTAAAAATGCTGAAAATAACCGATTCTGACGGCGAACAGCTTCATGGTTAGCAGTTATTGTTATTTATATTGATTTTGTAAATCTTTTTGTTAAAATAAGTGAAACACGCTTGCCCAATGCCATAACCCAGTCTGGTCAGTTTTGTTCTTGGTTTTGATGTCTGATCAATAAATTCCATTCACTATACCTTTGCACTCTCTGCCCAAAAGGGAGAAATCTACCGAAGTTTCCAAAAAATAACCTAAACCACAAATTGATGTACTTAAAAGAATTTGATGTCTTTTCTTATACCTCAGAAGTCTCTGAATAATGTAAACTGCCTGGCCGTTATTTTACTACAGATACTACAAAACATTAACTAGAGCTTTGCCTAAACAACCATTTGGTTTGTGTGCATGTATGAAAGGAAAATAAAGTGGATAAAAAGTGGTGCAAACACATAACTTTTGCTAATGTGTAACTTATAAAATTATCAAATGGAGAACATGTGAAGCAATAACAAGTTTAGCTACTAATAACAAAAACAATGCACTGGGAAACAAGCTTATGGACCTTAATTACAATGTGCATTTACTGCCACAAAGAGATCTTTTAATGTGAATTTCCAATTCCCGACCACAACAAACAGTTCTGAAATGTAAACAGAGAAATATCAGCATTAGCTTTTAAATAAAATCATAAAAACGCCATTTAGTCATCGCATTTCAGAAGATCTAGATTAATATTGTCACTTGAATTTTTCAGTAACATTTTACAATGTAGTTTTATCATCTTGTTGAAATCATCTGACAAGCTGTTATCAAGCTACTATCAAAAAGTGTTTCTATACCTGATGCAACAGTGTTGTAACAGATTCATTATGATGTTCGTTCTATACACTCTGACAGCAGTATGAAGTACCATGAATAAAAATAAATAAAAACATCAGCTGCAGTTATACATTTCAGAACTGCTTGGGTTGATCTGCAGTCGTTAAACATGATCAACAATGGCCCAAACAGAATAACTGCATTCGTTTTTTTGGGGGGGGTGGGGGTGGTGTCAGTGTTACCACAGCCCTTAAGGAATTTTGCAGTATACACTTGTATATAATAGGGAGAAACCACCACCACTCTTTATCCACCCTGTTGAGTGATAAGAAAAGGCTTTTGTAGAGCCTGTTGCGAAGAAAGTGCTGTGTAAAAAGAGAAGGAGAGTAGTTAACATCTTGTTAGGACACAAAACAATTTGCATTACTCAAATGAAAATTTATTACATTTAATTTCAAAACAGCTGCAGCCATGTGCCTGCAGTCTTTGGAATTACATTACATAACACATATAGATGTTCATATTCAAAAACCATGACCCTTTCAAAAATGCCGTTTCAGAACATACTTCTCCTGACAACTGTCAAATAAAGCCCAAGTGCTTTAACAAATCAAGATGAAACATGGATATGAGACAGATGTTCAAGGTCTTGTAATAAAACATTACTAAAAACAGGAGTTTAAACACTCATTTAAATGCTACATGAGCATGACAGCATCTGACGTCTTTAGGGGTGTGAGAAAGAATCAGTAAAACTAACTTACACTGTTTCAAGTACTACCTTTTTTTTTAATTTACCAGGCCATGATGCAAGCTGCTGGTCCCGATTCTTCTGCTTTCCCCACAGCAAAATCCACTTTAGCATAAAGAAAAATAAGGGTTCTACATGAAAAACATTCTTTAGAAAAATAGCGATATTTCAGAAAGGGCTTGTCCAGTTTCAGCAAAATACAAGCTTGCATTGAAATCAACATCAATGTATCGACACTGAATAAACAGATACATAACAGATTAATTTAAGCAGAAGCCCTTTGTGAAACATCACCCGTTTACATAATTTTTTAACTTTTTTTTTTGTCCACTTAACTACTTCCCTCAGTCTACTTTAACTGAAATTACATGCTACAACGGTGTAATCCAACAAACATCCAACGTATGTAATTCAAAAAACAATGCTTAATTTCTTTTTGTAGGTTATCTTCAATACTTTAAACAGACAGCAAATGAAAATGAAACAAAAATTCTAGTTTATTTACAGTTCATATTGTGCCGTGAACTGGCAAAAAGCATTGTCTTCATCTTAGGAGTTAACCAGTTCTGTGCAGTCTTCTACTACTTGATCCTTACCATGGATTTCAGCAGTCAAGGATGTTCTGTGACCCAGTCATCCAGCATGGCGGACCAAGCACCTAGAAGAAAACTGTCAACAAGTTTAGCAGTAACTTGTATTGAAAGCAAGTTCAACAAACATGCCATTCAAGCTCTGCACACATTTAAACAGTTAACTCTATATTTGACAACTACTGTCGTCATGTCCCCTCATTTACATCTTGTGCAAATGTTCAGTCTCGGGAAACGTTGAAAATGTAAAATACTTGACCCTACATTTTATGCGACAAGCTTGAACTCTCTGCACATTTGGTGCAGAATTCCACCGAGACGTGGTCTTTGTCCACATGCAGGCAGACGCCACCTGCAGTATCTTTGTCTTCCACCTTCACCCTCTTCCTCGGCATGGCATAATCGTGGTCGTTCTCGTTGGATTCCTGGAAAAGTGAGGTAGAGAATTTCATGCCGTTCACACCGCTCAATCTAGACAACAGCTGAGCCAGCATGCTCTCATTGGCCAACACGGCTCTCAAGTACCTAGTTTCATTCTCCAACTCTTCCACTCTCTTGTTGAGATTGCCGTTTTCCTGCTTGAGAACACGATTTTCTGTTGTCAAAGAACCAACTCTCTGTTCCAGGCCACTGACGTATTCTTTCTTCTTTAAACGGTTCATCCTCGCAGCAATGGCATTCTTGTTGATGATCCGACTGGAGCAGTCTTGAAGTTTTGACCTCTGGACTGCACCTCTACTGCGGGATGGGGCAACGTCAAGTACTGCGCTTTGGTCTGTCTCATCGCTGGTCGCTGTCTGTGATTCAAAGTTGACGAAAGCATCAAGCACTTCATTGTCCAGCTCCCAGTTGAACCCGGAGCCAAGCAGATCATCCAGGCCCCAATCATTGGTGTCACTTTCTGGGGAAGTTTGCATGTCCGTTTCACTTGTATTACTGATTTTCGAAACACCATCAATCTCGTGGGAGGTACTTGTACATGTGATGTCAGCGTTTAGGCTGCTTCTTCCTCTTTTTCTGGTGATCATGGCTGTGTTTCTGTATATTGTGGAAACTGCATAGAAACAAAACATTAGGAAATTAGCAAAAAATAAATAACAGCAACAATCTGCACACAAAGAATACAAATAAGAACACAAATAAGAGTTAATTTTTATTGTATGGGAGAAAGCAATGAAAATTAGATATATAAAGCTGCCAAACCACTGAGAAATGTTCGATTAGAAGTGAGGATGTAAATTGACGAAAAAATGGGGAGAAATCGATCCACATTCTTCCGTACTTAGCAAACACCACCTAAAAAAAAACAGATATAGGGTTTTTTTTTATAATTAAAAAAAACGTGCACGTCAATCTATCCTCTTACTTTTAATATAGTAATCGATATATGAACAACTATCGAATACAACAAAGAACATATCTTTCGCAGTGGTTTTGTTTAGTAAGCCGCTGTAGCGCGCCTTGAATCTGCGTGACAAAGCAGTTTCTTCACGCAAAGAACTACACATATTTTTGTTTATAACCGGAGCAACTTACCTTAAATCGAATGCTGATGTCTTCTGACGTCGATTGGATGAAGAAAACTAAATGAACAGGACAGAAAAGAAAATATATTTAAGCTCAGACGTTGTAGTCAAGCCATGCGCTTACGACGACACTGAGAGGAACTAAAATGGCGACTCCTCAAGTATCGCGATACTTAACATAAGCATCGCTTATCATAGAGGAGCAACGATTGGGTGTTTTTTTTTTTCTTTTCAGAATCGGTTGCTGTCAGTCTATAGTTCCTTACACAACAACATTTACGTTTATTTATTACTAGATATACATAATTGTACATATAAAAGGGATGCCAGTTTATAAAAGTTTAAAGTTTATTAAAATCAACGTCTTAGGATACTCTCTCAAGGCAATAAACAAACGATCTTATTTGCTGCAAATTGAAAGATTTTAAGGCATTTTTATTTTAAGACATTAAATCCACATACTTTACAATAACACGCATATTATATTTTTCATTGTCTTTGTCTTCCTCAACAAAAATGTCAAGAAACCGTCAAGTTAACTCCTATATATTTAACATTAAAAATTGTGTTCCTACATACTGCATTCTTCATGTTCACAGTCATTTTTCATGTATTTGTTCAAAAGTGTCACCATATGCCTCAGTTTCTTACTATCTAGACATTCTTGCCATGACTATCATTCTCAAAGGTAAAATATCTTCCACCCATTCATTCGGAGATTGCATCATTCTCTCCCACAGGGCTGCTTCAGCACCATTCGAGTCCATCCAGTTCACTTCACTGCCATAACTTTTACCTGCAATAATACTGACAATCAGTTGTGACAATTTTACACATTTTTTAAGTATGGTTGTAATTTCTCTTTCAATTACCTGTTCCTGGACCCAGCCTAATACCTCCAATGAAGTGGTTGTTGAGTCTGTCGTGATCCCACACAGTAAGCTCCACGCAGGCCTCTTTGAGGTCCTCTTGCCTGAAACCATCATACACCATGGTGTGGTTAAACACTGGGTTAGATGCCCTCTTCAACACTCTGGTCTTCTGACGGCTTTTCCGGATGGTATCTGGGAGGACTGCGCTGAAAAGACCAAATTCACACGTGATGGGCATCCCACATTTAATGATCCAACATGTATACAAATATATCCAATAAAACAGCTATAAATACCATTTGACAAAGGGGTCAATGGCAACACCTCTGGTAATAGGCAGATTCTTGCATTCTTTCACCCATATTTGCACCTCACCGTTCCCCTTGTTCGTGTGACCTACAGAATTAACATGTTATCAGAAAGAAAGATGCTTCTAAAAACATATTTTTAGTCAAATACAAAGTGTCAGCATCTTACTGTGAGAAGTCTGTGGGACAAAACGCAGAGCGACTTTAATCTCTGCACTCATTTCTGCACTGCCGACAGAATGTTTTGGGCTGGTGGGAACCTGGACCTGGGTTGATAAAGAAATACATGCTTTAGTGGAATTCCAACAAACATGGCCTCATACCCTTTAGCACAAGATTTTAGATGTGTTGTTCACAGACTTCTCAAGAAAAGCACTTTAGAAAATTTTTTTGCTGTCCATATCTTCAACAATATTAACCTAGATACAGATTTGTTCTGTGAGCCACCAGTTAAAGACTATCCTAACAGGTTATTTTAACCAAATAGACATGACTATTGTTATCTTACCCTTCCTTTAAGTAAATATTCATTCATCTGAGTGTTACTGAAATCCCATTCGGCCAAATCGAGCTCAACCTCTCCAAGAAACATGTTACGCCCAAATGTGTCGTTGTGCCACACAGAGGTGTTCAGCTTCTGGGTTTTCAACGTCTCCACTGGAATCTTAAACTGCATGGAAAAGACAACTTTGATCATCAAATTCAAAACATATCTGAAGAAGTTTATAATTCTCATACCCGTAGTATTTCATTGAAAGTTGGATCCAGAGTCTTCTTCCTCACGCATGTTTTTTTCTTTCCATATTTTGCTTTGTCAGGTAACAAGTAACATTTAACATACCTGAAGTTCAATCAAACAATATATGATTGTTTATCTATCTTGAGAGAAGCTATATTCTTCTGTTGACTAATATTATTTCACTTACGGATCAGATCGGTTCCTCTTAACATCCGCCACGGCGAGGTCCTTGCATTGCACAACAAAGACGTGGAACTCTCCCAGTTTTTGCACGTAGTGAATGGCGAACTGGATTGTGCCTTTGACCTCCACATTACCAAACTCACTACTGTAGATGCTCATTACACTGCCAGTGACCTACAAATACCCCGCACAAAGACACAGATCTATACAGAAACCTTTTCATTATTGCATGTTATAAACATTAAAAAAAATAGATTGATACGTGCATTTGCATTATATTAGAGCAAAATTATTTCTATTCAGAATCATTGGGTTGTGTTGGGGTCACATACAGAGGACATGGAGGCCACTTCAGAGCAAGTGCTAAAATTAGAAGGAGTGTTGCATGTTCTCAGTCTGTCATAGGGGAAACTGCTCACTGATGCACAGTCACTGTTTCTGAAATCCATCTAGTAGTCACATGCACAAACAACAGGAGATTGATTGTAAGCTTGTATGCAGGTTAATAAAGGCAGTGGATGGTGGTGTTTAGCTACAGGCAGTGATAAGGCAAATCATAAAAATAAGACATTTTAGAACTAATCCAGTGTTATTCGACATCAGCATTTAAGATGCTCATGGGTTTTGGTTTGTATTTTACCTCTTGCATGAATGCAGGCACTGACATACTCATCATCTTCACCTGTTCTGGGTCGGAGAAGGATGTTTTGGTGTTGGAAGTGACTGCAGATACTGAGACAAAGGAAACAGTAATTTGTTGGATGCACATTCTGCATCAAGATACAGATGGAATGAATTTGAGTTAGTTTTAGTAGAAATAACTAATTCTGAAGAGTTCTGAGATTTCGAAGAGCACATTTTATATTTTATATAGATAATTGATTTAGTTACTCCATCTACCTCACCGTTAGATGCATGATTTACTGAATGTAAACCACTTTAATCGTTGCCATTAATCCATGTGCTCATCAAATTTTCATGTGTCAGTTAATGCATTCCCTTAGCCATTTCAAGTAAAATATACATGAAAGACCAAGGGTCGATTATGAAAAGGAGGTTTAATGTCCTTGATGCTAATTTAATGTGAGGGGCTTACCTTCTGCTCTTTATGTAATAATGCAAATGTATAATACTCTATGAACATTAGTTAATAAGCTACAGCAGAGGCTGATATCAAAATCATTTAAAATAATTATGAAATGTATTTACAAATTGACATGCATTTACTTTATTACTGATTTATTAAAAAGACAAATATTTACCATTTTCCATACTCAGCCCAACATCACTCCTTGGGTCAGTCTTCCATCTCTCTTCTTGGTTCAGATGACAAAGATTTAAACAAAAATTGATTAATTATATTATAAAACATTGTGAAATGCAGTACAGCAAAAAATGCTTGAGAAACCTGGGTATGCTATCTCTCAATTACACTAGAGACATTGGGAGTTATTAACAAACGTCCAGCAGAGGGCGAAAGAGACTGTCACTCGTACAGAACTAAGTCTCTGTAATAGCCATGATCCTCAAAGACCAAAACATTTTGACTTGACCTTAAATACGGTCTTAAAGTCAACAAAACATAGGGCAGGAAAGATAAAGGAAACTTACGTAAAGGTGTGGATGCCAGGCCCTCTAAACTCTTGGAAACAGAGATGGGTCTGGCATTGGCTCGTTCAAGGGCAGCGTTGACAGGGCTGTCATCCTCACTGTCCCCTGTCACAGCCCATATCAAGAAAGAATCAGCAAACCATACAAAAACAGAAGTCTACTGATCCATTATATACAACTATTAGTACTGAATATCTGATTTGAAACACTGATTTCATGTGGTATTTCCACCCATTAGCTTTCTGATTTCAGGGGATTTGAAATGTATATGTAATTATTATTATGTACAATGTATGTAATTTTAAATAATTAAAAAAAAATAGCATAAGAGTGACCAAAAAAGCTAATTAAAAATCAATATAGCCAAATAATAAATAATTTAATTAGTTATAGATTTAAAATATAACAGATTAAAAAAATAAAATAATTATTAAATATAAGATGTAATAAATTAAAACAATATAATAAAGACTTTAATGATTGTAAGCTGATTTTTCAGTGTCAGAGGTACTTGTGTTAATTTGACTGTAACTGTAAACAATATTTCCAACACAATGTTATAAAATGAAACTTACCAAGAATTTTAAAAATTACAAATAATAAAAAAAGTTTCATGATTTCAAATAAAAAAGTTCTGATTGCTGAATTAGATCATTATAGAAACACGTAGAGGCAGGGCTTAAATAGTTATAAACCTGTAGAACAAGAAGGTCATTTTATCATGTCTACAAAGTTGAGCAACTTACTTGAGCAAAGTATCACTGAGCAATTGTTTTAATGACATAAACCCTGCTTCCACAAGAATCACAGAACCAATCAAGTTATTTTCTACTGAAACTAGACTGAACCAAAATGGAGAGGTGAGCTCACAGTATGAACTGGCGTGTGAGATTGACCGGGCTTCAGGTGTGCAGCTCCCAGAGGAGTCAAAGGTGATCTCCTCTGATTCAAGCAGGGAGTGTCGAGAAGGGGAGCTCTCATTGCTCATGCTGCCTTGGCTCATCTGTTCAAAAGTTTCACCTGCCTGCACTGTAACCTGTTTTCTTTCATCTAAGACTGCCTGCACAGGTACGCCCAGGTAATGGTGTAAACTCAGGGGAATATAAAACCGGGTCAGAGAGTCCACTGACAACTTTCGTTCTTTGGGCATGATGGGTCTTACATCACAGCCTCCATCTGAAGTCTTCCTGTGGTGTTCAGGAGAGATTCAAGACCTGGTTTGCCCTGGATTAACCCTTACAGTGCATGGACTCTAGTTGGTGGGATTGATATCTATCGCAAAGGTTCTTAAGGGAGAACCTAAGGGATCCTTCCTGGTTTCTTTGTTTGGATATGAATCTCTACGAGGTACTTTAGACTGCAGTAATGGGCTGGGAGTTCTGGTTTGATCTTGGTCTTTTGGGTGGTAAATGTCAGTGGACTGTGGCTCATCATGTTGACCTTTTGCAGGGAGACTTCTGAGGGGAGATGATGGTGGACTTGGCTTTGAGTGTTCGTCTGAAATGGACTGTTTGAAATGAGAAATATTCTGGGTGATGTAAGGTACCCTACCTCTGATATCTTGAAGGTCTTGTAATGGCACTGTACTTGGACTTTTTTGGTTTTCCTCGGTCTGTTCCATCTTCTCTTTTTGTGTCAGTCCAGCCTCTTTGAAACTCATTCTGCCTGGGGAACTTTGGCTGGTTGACCTGATGTCAAACTGAGGTTCAGAAAGTTCCATTGAAGAATGTTTTGGAGATGACTCTGGGGCTGGATCTTTAACATTAGCTGTGCACGTTGGTGAGCCTACAATTACTCTAAGGCCACTTTTTTCTTTCTCCCAAAATGAATTGAGATCATTAATTGAAACATTATCCTGCTGTTGACTTAAGGACATTTTGAAGGTGGAGATTTCCTTCAAGTCAGTTATGTCCCTAGAGATTGACTCTTCTTGTAGCTCATTGCCCAGAGATTTATCTTTGTGTTTTAGCAATGAACTAGGTGACAATTTGGCATTCATTTTTACTGTGAGAGTTTGTAGTTCACTGCTTGAAACTTCTGAGACCCTATTGCTCTCTGAACTACAAGGTTTCTCATCTTCATGTGAGGATATGGCTGATATATCAACACCATTGGATGTTCTTCTAGGTGAGATTGGAGAAATCTCACATGATGTATATTCTACATCAACTGGATTTGGGTTTGGATCATTGGGATTGGGTTTGGATGGGCTGATGCTGGAATCTGACAACCTTCGTTCCACAGCATCGTGATAATTCTCATTAAGCTGAGATGGCTCACTTACTTCTACCTCGGCTTCTCTTTTGATGCTCAGTATTTTAGGTCCTTTGTTCCCCCTTTCCCAGAATGACTTCAGGTTGGCCAGTCTTCCTGGTGATATTTCACCTTGGTCAAACGTCTCTCTTTGAGGAGGATCTTCGCATATTGGTTTGTCTGTTTTTTCCTGCAGTATTTCTGCAGTCTTGCTATTTGTAGGAACAGAGGTCTGTGGAAGTACATTATCATCTTCAGACCTCAAAGTACAAGATATTTTATATTCTGAACTTTCTGTTTTATCTTGACTTATCTCTTTTTGGTCAGATGCTTGAACTTCAGGACTCTCTGCTCTCAAAAACAATGAAAAAAGCCCCCTACGTGTCTTTGGTGGTGGCTTGGTCTTTGGCTGTAAAACTGGAGGCACTGAATCTTCTGACTTGGCTTCTGGGCTTTCATGATCTTTTGGTTCCTCTTCATTCATCTCTTTCTTAACTGGCGACTCTTTCAGCTTTCCATCTCGAGAGCCTCTCCCAAACCATTCAAGTACCTTAGAAAATGAATGACCCTCTTCCACTGTAACCTTATCAGTCTGGCCCTCTGCACTTAACCCAATGGCCTTACCTGCTACCTCAGTAAAGCCGTGGAAGTTGGACACCTGTGAGGGCTGAGGCTCACCATAAACCTCATGATGACCTGCAGTGAAGACAATCACAAGTTTTAAAGTTTAATTTTTGCATGCAAGTGACAGAGAATAATACTTTGAGAGAGAATGACTTCCAAAAACAATACTACATTAAATGGCATAAATCTGACCATGATTCCTGAGATCAGATGATAAAATTACACTTTAAAATTGCAGTAAACACCCAGACAGTAGTCATTTCTTGCAGTGCTTATTTACTAATCACCATTTGTGGATTAATCAACCATACACATGAGCATTCACCAGAAGCCATGTGTTGTATGTATACGGTATGTACGCACATGCAGTTAATATGAGGGTGTATTGATGTGTTAGCATGTTAACTGCTGAATTACAGGGTGATAGATTTTTTGGCAGATTATTTCACTTAAACACATTTCTTGGGTTTGATTATATTGTTAAGGTTCAGGTTTCTTACCAAAAGGGTTTTGGAACAAGCAATCCTCACTATCTGGTTGGACAACCCATCTACCTGTCCTTCCCTCAACCTTTCTACAGGCTCAGTGCACACCACATTGGGGCGCTCGTGATTTTTAGGGGACTTCAGACTGCTGTGTATAACGTTGTAAACCACAGGAAGTTGACAATTCTCAGACCGCTATGCTAATTCCATGCGTTAATGGGATAGTTCAACCAGATTGAAAATTGAAACTCAAAACAGATCATCATTTATTCACCCACATGTCATTCCAAACTTGTTACTTTTTGTTTTGTGGAACACAGAAGGTATTTTGAAAAATGCCTTTGAATACATGTTTGGAACAACATGACAGCGAGTAAAATAATTTTCATTTCCTGGGTGAACTATCCTTTTGTGTACTTCTCGTGGATACAACCATGTTACCGTTGTCTGTGATATTGCTTCTATCCTGTTCCGACAGAGGACTCCAGTCTTCTTCCAGCACACTGTGCTCTCCTTGCACTCTCTCTATAGGCCCAACGACAGAGGAGAAGCGGACCTGTTTCCTATCTAACCACCCTGACGCAGAGTGCACTGAGCAGGGGGAAAGAGGAGGGCTGTTGGGAGTTTCAGGACTGAAAGGGCTGACTGTAGCTGAAGATTGACTGCTGCTGCTGTCATCATTGGTAGAAATTTGGAGATGCAGGGAGTCAGTAGAGTTACAGCTAGAGATGTTGTGCTTCAGGATGCCTCTGGGAGCAGGGGTCATGACCTGTTTAACTCCATTGTCACTGATGGCAGTGTCCAGGGAAGAGTTCTTGCAGGAGTACAGCAGCAATCTTTTTTTTGGCACAGGTTTGTATTGTGTGACTATGTGGGTGTCAGTGTTGTCTGTGTTTGGAGTAGTGTGATGGAGTGTGTAGTTCTCAGCTGGAAGGAAAGTCTCTGAAAAATAACCAAATAGTTGGGTAATGAAGCAGTAAAAGAAGGAGCAAAGACACATACATGCACAAAAACATGAATTCATGTTTTATGATGAATTCATTTTGCATTTCATTTAACAGTTCTGTTCTTGTAACAACAGTACAGTATTTGTTAATTGATGAAATTTGAATGGTATAGCAATGAGATGCATGGGATAAAAGCTTGCAAGCAACCTAAGAATATAATGGTACGTCTTCAAGTCAGGGATAATAGATATATTGATACCATATCAAGTACGGGCCTACATAGTTCAGCAGAGCAGTCACAGTCAGTAGTCACATTTTTACTTTTACAGTGTATGTATTTGTGGCCTATTCCAAATATTCACAACTTTAATATTGACCTTTGCACTCATAACAATAATACTAGCCTTACTACACATTAAAAGCCCATCAAAAATGTACCATCTATGTCTGAGGTACAGACTGGTCATGCGTGGCAGCTTAGAACAACATATTTCATTCTCAGTATAATCTTCTTAATGTATTGTAATACCACTAAATGCCACACATTACATTTCAATGCCAATTATAAAACTACAACTTGGTTATTCTATACTAATTATACAAGCAAAGTAGAGTTGAATCCTGGAAATATACAAAACTACTCTATTGTTGTACTTGTGCAAATGATTATTGAGTGTTTACACTCCAGTATGACCTCAAAGAAGTGATTTTTGAAATTTGATACATTCATAATCAAAAAACAGGGACCAACAAGTTTTGTTGCCAACATATAATACAAATGTAGCATTGCATTATACAAACTACAGTGACTAAATAAGGTTTAACAGATATGCGCACACAGAGCACAGATCATGTCAAGCCAACACCATAGCCCAGAAGAGGTAAACATGCTGTTCGCAATGGGGATCAGTCAAACAAACTTACTGTTCTTGCAAGAAATATGTTCTGACTCTTTGCTCTTCAGAACATAAACTCCAATAAAAACACAACACATCTGTTACCTCATCTATTACTGGACTGAACAGTATCAAAAGAATCACACAAATGTTAAATCTGTGGTAATCACATGTGTTAGATCATAGAGATCATCTGTCAAAAGCGGAGAGCTGGTATACAGCTGTAGCTCTAACAGAAACCGCTACATTAAAAACTGTAAATCAGTGTTGTTATTGTTAACTAAAACTAGTGAAAATTATTATTTACTAATCAGCAATTAAAATAAAGCTAAAACTAAATAAAATGTAATCATTAGATGAAAAAAATTTTACTTAAAAAAAACAGTCTTGCCTTGGCAATTTACTGACAATAAATATATATAAATATTTATTGTCAGTTTATATATATATATAAACTGACAAAAGCACATACAAATGACTACAATTGAAATAAAAACTGAAAATATAAAAATAAAAGCTAATTCAAAATATAAATAAATACTTATAATAGTATATACATAATACTAAAATAATGCCACAATAAAATGATCAGTTGTGAATTACATATACAGTGATTTTTTTTATTAGATAAGCAACACAATATCACTATGAAATACTATTTATAGTATTCTAGTACTAGAATCACCATATAATTTGTAAAATCTGCAAAACAGATTTTGGTAGTTCAAGATTACATTTTATCAGTAAATTAAATATGAAGTTAAAAACTTTTTAAACATACGGCATTAAAATGCAAAGTCCTGTAATGCCTGAATCTTTGTCACCATTTTTTCAGTTAACATTTAACTGAACCATTTTTATAGACATACTCTACAGGGTGTATAAAAATCAATTTGAGGATAAATCTAGAAGATAATTCTCACCCTCAGCAGGTGTCTGATCAGCCTCTTTCACTCCATTGATAAGTCTGGCATCATCTCTCTGCGATCGCACACTATTGAATGGATTCTGCCTTGGCTACATAATACATTTAATGGAATCATAAAAATGCATAATAAAGAAAACTGAAAATTCAGCAAAATGATCTTAGTAACTGGATTTAGTGTAGTGTACCTTGATTTGAGGTCTCTGCCTTTCCCGCTGGGCTTCCGGCAACTCATCATCCACCCTGTATGGAGGTGATTTGGTCATATAGATTCATATAAAAAAATTCTGATGAATTAAATGCAAGATTCACCAACATGATAAAAACCAATAGGCCACTGAAAGCTTTGTGCATTGTGAACAGTTTCTATATTTCTATATTCAATCATCAATACATCTCTATGGTGTTGGTCCTGAAGCCCCTGGAAAGTCACAAGATTCAGCAAGCACTAAGTTTCCATGCTGCGATGTGACAGTATAATGCCATTACATGGTGTCAGACAGAGGGAAAAACAGCAGCACGTGAAATCTGACCCTTGAAGCAGCTTACTGGTTCCAGATTCCCTCACCATTGTCTGGGAAAACATGGGAAAAGTTTGCCCTACAGATTATGTTAGACCTAGAGTACAGGTTCACTCCTGAATCGCTGCCAAATTCACAAACATTTCATAAACAAGTATGCATAAACTGGTAGACAGATTATGTTTCTTTTCATGTTGTTTTACATGAGCTGTGATATGAGAGCTTTAAAAGCTAGTGTCCAAAAAATGAAGGCTGTTGATGACAGCATGATCCGTCCAGCCAGGCTAATGGGCGGATGCAGCGTTGGTGTGTTGAAAAGGCAGAGCCGCCATAATTTCCTTTAATCAAGTATAACAATGGTATGTGCTTGATACTGATAACAGAAATGCAATTTTGAGTTTAGGAACTTTTTATTGCTACTTTTATTAACATTATTCATTTGTGTTCAAGGCATTTCTAATTACTTTACATGGAAAATGTTACATGAATTTGCTGTCTGAAAAAATAGATAAATAAATAAAACGTACACATACCCACTCAGATGTTCCTTTTTTTTTTTCCCCCAATGAAAATATTCTACATAATAATAACTGTTAAAACTCCAGATTTGCTATCATAATGATAAATTAAATCTTAAAATATATTAAAACAGAAAGCTGTTATTTTTAAACTGAAATAATATTTAAAAATATTACTGTTTTTACTGTATTTAAAAAAAAAAAATGAATGCACCCTGGGTGAGCATAAGAGACACTTAGAAATCTTAGTGACCCCAAAACTCCACACACTAACATGATATGAGTTTATATAAAGACCTAATAGTTGTTATAAAGTGTTTTGTTAAGCTTTGGTTGTATCTCGCCTATGGCATGAAAAATAGGTGCATGAACACAGCCATATAATTATGCAACATTTAAAATTTTTGTACCTGGTATCATAATGACCAGCATACTTAATTACATAAATTACAAACATTCATATAAACGTGATTACACTGCATTCTACAAGATTTCACATCACAGGTATGACAAAAACAAGAAAAACCAACAATATTCCAGCATGTACTGCACCACGTTTCAATCAGATGAAACACTGTACTGGAATGTTTGAATCATAAATGTACTTAAAGGGTTAGTTCACCCAAAAATGAAAATTAGGCTGTGTTTTACTCACCCCCGATGCATCCTAAGTGTATATGACTTTCTTCTTTCAGACGAATCCAGTCGGAGTTATATTAAAAAAAAAATTCCTGGCTATTCCAAGCTCTATCATTGCAGTCAGCGGGTGTTGCAGTGCTTCAGTCCAAAAGAAGTGAAATAAAAACACCCATCCATTAAAAAAATGTCTCACACGGCTCCAGGGGGTGAACAAAGGCCTCCTGTAGCGAATCGATGCGTTTTTGTAAGAAAAATAACCATATTTAAAACGTAATAATCTTCTTTTATGTTCCACGGAATGTCATACAGGCTTGGAACAACATGAGGATGACATTTAGTAGGGATGCACCGATACCGATACTGGTATCGGTATCGGGCCCGATACTGGTCTCCTGTACTCGTACTTGTACTCGTTAAAATGACCCGATACCAAACGCCGATACCACACAGCATGTGATAAGCGCCGTATTCAAACAAAGAAACACCAACAACAGCAGAAAGGAGTTAAGGATGTCTACTACGAAGTATATGTATGCAATGAATATAATGTTAAACATTCAGTATTAACGCCTGTATAGCTGGTGTGCGCGAGCTGATAAACAAAGCACGCTGA